TGGCACAGGTATGATGATGTCACTTCTAGGTTTTACCACAGAGTTCTTAGCAATTCCTAGAGCTACCCCACCATCTCTTCCAGGTTTTCCCCAGAAGTGACATACTTGTGTCCATGATGACCTTCCACCAAGTTCTCACTCCCAACCCTCCCACCAGTTGCCATGCTTGTGATAGCCTTGATCCTGCCTCATTCTGACAGCTTGCAGTCCTTCACAGAATATAATTTTTGACATGTTGCCATATAAAGTATTTGGGGACTATTTTCTTTAAAATATATACATGTCTTGTGTTGCCGAATTGCAGGGCCAAAAAGTAATGACCTTAGAATATTTGCACCTATGCTCAGATTACTGGCCGCTCATCCAATTACACTTCAAAGCTTGAGGGAAATGTTTGCGTTGCCCTCTATAAACTGTCAGCTAGGCCAAGTCACAATAAGAGGATAATATGCCACCAAATGCTCCAGTGAGAATTCATTCCTCCCCTTACTACTCCTTCTCATATTGTTCTTTTAACTCAAAGGTCTTGAACAGATTGAAATCCAGCCTTCTTACAGGCAATCACCACAGTTTGATATTTAGTGACTGCTAAGACAGTTTTTCAGGCCTCATTTACAACAGAAAACGACAACTTTTTGAGATGGGAGATTCATATAAATCTCCCCTTACTTATGCATCTTTCCCTCTCTCCTTCAAATGTTAAAAGCGTGAGTGATACAAGCGACTGTTGCAGCTCCCCTCCCAGACTTGAAAAGAGTTAACACTGTGAAAATAGTGATAGGAAACTTGAGGCCCAAGAGCCGAATCTGGCCTCCAAATCCTTCACGTGTGACTAAATTACCGATCCAAAGACCCACGCACGCGCACACAACCATGCCTCAATCATTTTCTTTTAAATGGAAATAGAAGAAATTGTTCTTCAGCCCCCAGTGTGAACGGCAACAGAGTGCCTGGCAACATTCTTCCTTTTAGACATCTCAAGAGACGAGCCTTACAGGCAAATGACTGTGAGCAGCTGAAGTGCCTAAAAAGGCAGTCCTTGGCAGGGATTATGGCTACCAGCATCCAGCAATCCAGAGACCTGGGGTTCCCCCAAAATTACAGGTCATCTCCAGAGATCAGTTCCCCTGGAGAAAAACGCTGCTTTGGAGCGTGCACTCCATGGTATTGTACCCCACTGAGGTCCCTGTCCTCCCTTGGCTCCATTCCCAAATCTCCAGGAGTTTCCCAGCCTGGATCTGGCAACCTTACTCCCCCCCCTCCCAATCCCCACCAGGGAGGACCTAGAAACCCTGTCAGGGATCAATACTGAACAGGTTTAAGGCTGTTTTCCCTGGATCTCTGCTTGTGAAGGACTGAGTCAGTCAATGGTACCAACACTCCATGCCTCTTACTGTATCTCTGCTGTAAAAAACTTGGCCTGCCGATTTCTCCACATCTGGCTGCTGTTAAAGGCAAGAGAGCTGGCCAGTAAGGGTGTGCAAAGGGGGGGGGAATCAGTATTTTTTGGGTTCTGGTATATTGAACCTGACAAATATCAGTATTTCCTGATATTCCCAAATTCCAATATCAATATGGTATTACGATTCAGGAAATAATTGGGAAACCCAATTTATTCCGCTCTATTAAAGCGTATGAGGATAATTCCCCATAGGCTATAATGGAGAATCAATCCAAGGGTTTTTGGGGCTCAGTGGTTGGTTTTTTTTTTTGAGGCAGAGACACCAGAATTTCAGCGTAGCTTCTGCTGCCTCTCCCCAAAAGAACCACAAAGTTTCAAAAAGACTGGAATAGGGGGTCCAATTCTATGGGCCCCCAAAGGAGGTGCCCCCATACTCCATTGTTTTCAATGGAGGAAAAACAGCATGTAAAGGGATGTAGTCCCTTTAAATTCGAGAGTTCACTTGCTGAGTCAAGTGGTGGCAGCACGGGCCAGCTTCTCCAAGCTGAGCCCAAATAAATGTCGGTATTATCAGCTTTCATTCAGGCTTCGCTATATCGGTAGCCTAATCAGATCAGGGAATCTGATTTGACTGAATAAATACTCGGAAAATGCCAGTAAGGTATTTTTTGGGTATTTATTTGGCTCTGTATAAACTAAATGCATACCCCTACCGGCCAGGTCCTGCTTTCTTTTAATCAGGTTCATTAAAAACCCTGAAGGAGACAGGCCAACAGCTCTGTTGTCACTTGACTGGCACAGTTTTGGGTTTGTTTAATCACTAGAGATTACCCTTGAGGGGAAAGTCCAGGTGAAATGTCTCTTTTCAGGTTCTGCTCTGACTCTGCTGAACAGGATCTTCAGCCGGCGTTGACCCAGGTGTGTTTGTTGTGTGCAGCAGCTTGGCAAAATCCTCTGTTGTTGATAACTGTTTTGTAGCTAGAAATCAAAGACACATTGAACAACTTGGCTAACACAGCTTACAAGACATATTCATGTAAAGAGAATGTGTGGAGCAGGGGTGAGGATTGCGCTTCCTGGCCCCACTGTTTGGTTTCCATACATTCATCAAAATGTACAGACTTTCTACGACCACGCACACATGAGGCTCCTTTATACTGAATCAGACTCTCGGTCCATCAAAGTCAGTCTTGTCAACTCAGACTGGCAGCGGCTCTCCAGGGACTCAGGTAGAGGTCTTTCACTGCTACCTGGTATTTACCTGGAGATGCCACGGATTAAACTGGGGACCTTCTGCATGCCAAGCAGAATGGCACTACCACTGGGCTACAGCCCCTCCTACGGCAAGCTGTGTGCATCCAGGTACACAGTGTGGAAAGGGAACCCATACACAGTCACTTGTAGCCTAAAGGTCACCCAGCCTCCATTTTATTCCAAGAACAACCTTCTGAAGTTAGGTTAGGCTGAGAGAGAGAGAAATGGGTCAAAGATCACCTTGTGACTGAACCTCACGGCTGGAGATTTGAATCCAGCTCTCCCAAGCCCTTTTACACTCTGTCATACAGACTCCACATTAGCTCTAGTGTGCTTGTCATTCAGGCTCTTGTAAAGGAATTCTGAGGAACAAGAAATCAGCTACATGGCTGGAAAGCATGAACTGGACCCCACCCACACTTGCTTGTCAGCAGTCACAGGCTATCTACAAACCTGGTCACTTCCTTTGGCAGGGAAGCAGTGAGGGGGAGCAGTGCTTAATGTGCAAAATCGTCACCTGATAATGCAGCTTGGATTAATGTGCTGCAGAATCTGGTCCTTGAATCCAAGCTGCATTATCAGGTGACGATTTTGCCCATTAAGCACTGCTCCCTCTCACTGCTTCCAACATCATCACTCCCAAAGGAGATGTGTGTGTTTTTTCTTCCACCCCAGATTTCTATGCTAAAAAATCCCTCTCATATATTAAGGAGGTTTGAACCCAGAAATCCTAAATTACACATATGAAAATTAAGGGGGTTTGAAACCAGGAAGCTTAAATTGCTCCCAAATTAAAACCTGGAGAGCACTTTTTCCCAGTTGTTTGTCAAGGTGTTGTAGGGGAGAGTCCTTGGCTCATTGCTACAGCATCTGCTTGGCATACAGAAGGTCCCAGGTTGGATCTCTGGCATCTCCAGCTAAAAGGATCAGGTAGCACAGGGTGTGAAAGACCTCTGCCTGGGACCTTGGAGATCTTATTGCCTGTCTGAGTAGACAATACTGACCTTTGATGGACAAAGGATCTGATTCAGTAAAAGACAGCTGCATGTGCTTGTGTGTGTGTACACGCAGGGCTGAACCTCTACGCCCTGTACTTCTATAAGAATACAATTAGAATTATGATGATATCAAAGTAATCAGGATGGTGAAAGCTACAAGAGCTCTCTAAACTGGGTGAGGGGTCAACAAAGTGGCAAATGAAATTCAGTCTGGGTAAGAGTAAGGTGAAACTGTTAAAAAAAAACCTAACAAGTTCTAAAGGAGTGAGATCAAGATTGAAAGAGATCTTGGGGAATTATAGTGGTTTGAATATGATGCCCTTGTACAGAGCTATGGTGCAGCCTCGTTTGGAAAACAGTGCACAGTTCTGGCTATGGTATCTCAAAAAAGGATATTGCAGAGCTGGAAAAAGTACAGAAGAGGGCAACCAAAATGATTAAGGGGTTGGAGCACCTTTCCTATGCCAGAAGGCAGGACGGTATGGAATGTTACAGAGTAGAAAACAAGACAACTTTATAAACAACAAGTTTATAAAATTCTGCATGGTATGGAGAAAGTGGATAGAGGGAACTTTTTCTCCCTCTCCCATAATATTGGAACTCAAAGGCATGTGAATTTGATGGGCAACAGGTAGAAGACAGACAGAACAAAATGTTTCTTTACTCAGTAAGTAATTAAGTGGTGGGATTCACTGCCAGTGTATGTAATGATGGCCACAAACACAGATGGCTGTAAAAGGGTTGAGAGATGATTGGTCCATCAATAGCTACCAGCCCTGGTGAGTAAAGTGAACCTCCATGTTCAGAGGCAGGAAACCTCTGAAACTCAGTGTTAGGAGGCAGCATCGGGGGAGCGCTTTGGCCTCTATGCCCTGTTTTTGTTGGCCCTTCAGAGCAACTGGTGGTCCATTGTGTGAAATATGATGACTTAAGTAAATGGAACGCCAGTCTGATCCAAAAGAGCTGTTGTTATGTTCTTATATACAGTAGTTCTTTCCCTTATCACTGGGAACACTGTCCCACTTTGGCTTCCTGATTTTTTAAAAAGATTTTTTTATCTCACTCTTCCTATTCCCTAAATAGGGATTTGAACCTGGGACTCTCAAGTCCTAGCCTCACATTCTATTATGCTTCACTAATTTTAGTGTGGTCATTATCCATATTTTTGGCTCTACTTTCTTTCCCTTTGGATACAGGGATGCCTGAAATTTGGGATCTTCCCCCTGGATCTCCAGAAGAATTCAGCTTCCTTGCTCCGTTTTCTTTTCTAGAGGACAAACTCCAGAAGCACAAAACCTCCAGGTTCTCAACATGGCCACCTCTCCCTGGGCACACAGCAGCCACACCTGGTTTCTCCGTCCCATTTGTATCCTCAGTGGCATCCTCATTCTTCACTCCATTTCCCTTGTTGGAGGAGAGGACAACCTCTGGGTTCTCAGCTTCACTTCCCATTCCTGAAGGCCCTGGAACAGCGTCTGGCTTCTCAGCTTCCATTCCTGCCTCTGACGACACAGAAGGATCCAGACTTTCAACTTCACTGCCCCCCGCTGGGGACATGGCTGCACCCAACTTCTCTGTCCCGCTCATCAGCAACACCGCAGCACTTTGGGTTTCAGCTTCATGGCTGAGATCTACAGGACCTGATCAGAATCAAAAGAGAGAAAAGGAGTGAACAATAATCCTGACCCTGAGATCAGGTCTCCACTGTTACCACACTAATTCTATTATGCTCACTGTCCAGATTTTTGGCTCTACTTTTTTCCCCTGTGGAATGTGGATATAGGGATGCCTGAAAATTTGGCTCTTTCCCCCTGGATCTCCAAAATAATTCAGCTTCCTTGCTCCATTTTCTTTTCTAGAGGACAAACTCCAGGAGCACAAAACCTCCAGGTTATCAACATGACCACCTCTCCCTGGGCACACAGCAGCCACACCTGGTTTCTCCGTCCCATTTGTATCCTCAGTGGCATCCTCATTCTTCACCCCCTGGGTGGAGGAGAGGACAACATCTGGGTTCTCAGCGCTGCTTCCTGTTCCTGAAGGCCCTGGAACAGCGTCTGGCTTCTCAACTTCCTTTCCTGCCTCTGAGGACCCAGAAGGATCCGGACTTTCAACTTCATCTCCCCTCTCTGGGATCATGGCTGGACCCAACTTCTCAGCCCCACTCATCAGCAACACCGCAGCACTTTGGATTTCAGCTTCATGCCTGAGATCTACAGAACCTGATAAGAAACAAAAGAAAGAAAAGGAGTGAACAATAATCCAGATCTTGAGAGCCTAAGGTACTTCTTTTCATAATTAACTTAGTACTCACTCAGTGTGAGGTAAGAAAATTCAATCGGTTCAGATTTTCCTGGCCTGGAGATGCAGCGGTTAAATAGGAAAGGCAGCACCTCTTGAAAGGAAGACCTGGGAGCCCTGGGAAGAGAGACCTCCCTTTTTTCCGTAAGAGTTGTAGACAGCATAGGGTGTGTGTGAGGGGGAGAAGCATACGCTGTGACTATAAACAGAAACCTTTTACACAGGAAGCAACACATAAAGTTGATCTGAGAGGATAGAGACCAATTTAGTATATGTAATAAAACACTGATATCTCACCTCTCCCACCATCTCTGGGGGCTTACAAAAGCCAGCCAAGCAGGTATCTCCTTGCTGATTACTAAAGGTGAAACCTAACTTAAACTGATAGGAGTTGGGTACTGCCAATGCATGGTACACTTCAGAAGGATGGAGCCTTCCTGGCACCAGTTGACTTGGGTACAAACCTTGGTTTGAGCTCTCCGTTCTTTCTCTTCTTGCTGGGGACTTGGTTCCACTTTGTTCCCCTGAAGTGTCTTCAGTGTGCAAGTGGAAAGAAATGTCCAGGATCTCCACACCACTTCCTGCCCTGGAGGGCAGAGGAATGTTTGGGCTCTCAGCCCTGCCTGCTGCCTCCGGGGACACAGAAATCTCCACGTTCTCAGCTTGCCCCCCTTCCTGAGGGCCTGCGGCAGCCACACCTGGTCTCTCCACTCCATTTCCGTCCTCAGCGGCATCCAGATTTTGAGCTCCACTTCTGTTTCCTGAGGGCAAAGCCATGCCTGGCTTCTCAACACCCTTTCTTGCCTCTGAGGAGACAGAAGGATCTGGATTCTCATCCATGTTTCTTTCCTGGGGAACCCTGAAGGGTGTGCCAGAATCCAGGTCCTGAGCTGTATTCTCAGCGTTGCCTCCTTTCTCCAAGAACACAGTACCGCTTGAGATGTGAAGTTTATTTCTGGAACTTACAGGACCTGAAAAGAAAAGAAACACAAATCCAGGTCTCTAACATCTTGAATTTCCCTATGAAAAATTCAAGTGCTTCCCCGCTCCCGCCTTTTACTGGAGCTTCCCTACAGACCTTTGTTTCATCACTGGGAATGAAGGCTTGGTACTTCTGGCATTAGTCTCAAGGTGTTAGACCTCAGTGAGGAGCACACTTTTCCCCAGCTTTTGTCCCACTCAGTCCTTCTCTGTGTATCTCACGGCTGCCACCACAGGGTTCTAAAAGGTTTGCAGTCTCCCAGCCAGAAACAGACACCTTTTCAGCCAACATGGAGGTAGGGGGAAATTCTTAAAACCTTGCTTGTTGGAGATGTTCTCCACTAAACAGGTGCTCCCTGCTCCTTCTCTATAGCTTGGTACGTGTGACTGCTCCCAAAGCGTGAGGCTTTTTATGGGTGCAGACACCAAACAAGTCCAAATTCAGGGAAAGACTTCTTTTAAAAATAAAAACATCAAGAGTACTACACTGGATACAGGGAAAAGTACAGTTGAAAAGCTTAGGACTACAACATCTGAGTACAGGAAAATCAAACATGTGTGTGTGGGGGGGTGTATTTCTTCTCCCTCCACTTCTTATTTCTGTGACATTTGAAGAAACAGGCAAATTTGACTTGTTGATCAGACTAAAATAGTCCCAAGTTGCTTTCTTCATTTGGTCAGGCATCTCTCATCAGACCATATACTGAGGTATCTCTGCTTTCTTTGACTGTTGCTTCCAACTTCCTTCTCAAAGCATGTGTGAAGGTGGATGACCGGTCAAAGCAAGAGCAAAACACAAAATGCTGGAGAGTGAATCTTCACTGCCCAGGGTATTAATCAAGAAGTCAACCCTGCAAGGTAGGATGTTTACATGCAGTGTTCCCTCTAAGCTGAGTAAGTGTGAGCTCGCTCACAGTTTTTTAGCCTCCAGCTCACAGATTTTTGTCTTAGCTCAGGAAGGATGGCTCCAGAGCAAACTAATTCATGCAGGAGCCAAATCGCTCGCTCACAACTTTAATGCCAGGAGCTCACAAAGTAGAATTTTTGCTCACAGGACTCCACAGCGTAGAGGAAGCATTGCTTACAAGTGAGTCCCAGAAACAATTATTTTGGTAACTGATGCCAACACAGGCCAAGGTGTTAGATTTAGATTCATGTCCGAAAACCCAAAGAACACCACAGGAATATAATGAATAAGGTTTATTAAAAGAACTGTGCAAGGAATATGTAATCATGAGAACAGTGCAAAGCAAGGGAAGAAACTAATAAAAATCTAAAGAGCCAACCTAAAATACCAAATACGTAAGAACATAGGAAGTGCCCTTGTAGGGATAAGCCTCCTACTCTGGGCACTGAAAACAGCCACTCCAGCAGTCAGGCCGGCCGCACTCCCCTTTTTGTTTTGTGAGAGTGAAAGCTCTACCCTCTACCTCATTCTCCAGGTTCACTCAGGGGTACTCCTATGTTCAAGTCAGTAGTGATTCCAGACACAGCTTGAAACAGAAATCAAATGTATTAACTTACAAGGAGTGTTGCAAAGCATAAACCACTCAGTCACAGGCAAAAAGATATAAATAAACCTCATTAGTATCTAAAATCTGCCTGTCTGAAAACTTTGAATTTCTCTACCTTCAAGCATTTAGTCACCCATCCTACCCATCCAATAGAATACAGGCCCTCTTCATGCCAAAGTGGAAACGGGTCAAGAGTACCTGGCCCTGCACATTAAGAAACTAACTTTTCCAGTAATCAGGGCATTACCCAGCAACTCAATGGCCAATCAGGGCCGACCAGTTAATTAGCACCTGCTATGAGGAGAAAACTAGGGAGGATGGATAAGGCAGTCTCCCAAGGCCGAATCTCCAAGGAACAGGCAACTGCTCTGCAGGTGTTACTAATCAGCAGAGAGAGCACTTCTGGCCAGAATCCCACCAACACTTAAGAGTTCTGAAGGAAGGCTCAGTCACCTCAGTAGAACCTGAAGCCTAAATTATCAAATTCCGTACAGCCCTACTGGATCAGACCAATGGTCCATCTAGTCAAATATCCTGTCTCACACAGTGGCCAACCAGTTTGTCTGGAGGGCATAGAGGCTGTGGCCTTCCCCTGATGTTGCCTCCTGGCTCTGGGATTCAGAGATTTGGTGCCTCTGAATGTGGAGGTTCCCCTCAGTCACAATGGCTAGTAGCCATTGATAGATTTATCCTCCTTGATTTATCTAATCCCCTGTTAAAGCTGTTTATTCCTGTGGCCATCACTACATCCTCTGGCAACCAATTTCACATTTTAAATACTCTCTGTGTAAAGCAGTATTTCCTTTTATCCATCCTGAACCAACTGCCTATGAGCTTCATTGGATGCCCTCAATTTCTAGTATTTCAGGAGAGGGAGGAAAAGTTATCTTTGTCAACTCTCTCCCATCCCATGCGTAATTTTATAAACCTCGGCCTTGTGTCCCTTATTCCTCTCTTTTCTAAATGGAAAAGTCCTAGACTCTTCAGCCTTTCCTCATAGGGAAGGTGCACCAACCCCCTAACCATCTTGGTTGTCCTCCTCTGTACTTTCTCCAGCTCTGCAATGTCCTTTTGAAATACTTGTGTTTCCCCTTCAGTTTCCTTTTTACTATTCCCCTCATTTTTGTAACGTTCCCTCTTCCGAAATCAAATACAGGCTTTGGTCCTCTGACCCAGATGTTACCTGACCAAAGTGAAGGCACAGAGTCCAAACAGAGTTCCAAAAGGCAATTATTCCAGCCACGCAAGGCCTAAGCAAAATGTCAAGAATCAAGAGAGGCTCAAAAGTACAAACTGGTATGAAGGATCTTCCTTTATGCTCAACTGCCTGCAGTTGGCCTGATCCCACTTGGCTTGAACAAGCAGGTGTGCTGCTAAGACATGTGACCACATACCTCCACAGCTGACACATCTTCACAATTAAGCAACCCTCCTCCCATATACCCAGGGTCCCTTGCGCTAATGAGACAGAATGTAAATGCAAAACTCCCTCCTGGTTCCTGGCCTTGAAACTCTTGGCCCCATGATCTCCCTTGCACCTGTGTCTGACTCCCATCTCATCCTTATCTCTCTTGAGATTGCAACTTTTTTGTATCCTCACTGCAGGGCCCTGTCGGCTGGGAGGGAGATGCAAAGGGAAACCCATACGGGTGGACTGGAGAGCCAGCGGTGCAGCACTGGGCAGACGCTCCCACTCTGCTGGACTGTTGCAGACGAGGTTGTTCCGCCATGCTGGAGCCACAATTGGAATGGCTCTGCCCACTTCCCCCGAGCAGTCTCCTGCTCACTTGCACTCAGGGCCGGCTCCAGGTTTTCTTGTAGACTAGGCGAGGCTACCTTCTGGCACCCCCCACGCCCGCCAATTATGGGGTTGCAAACCTCCAGGCAGGGCCTGGAGAGAAGGAAGACTTTCCTCGCACTGAAAAAAATAACCTTTTAATACAGGAATTAGCAGAGAAAGAGCATAGTTATAAATGGCATCGCTTGTTAATTAACTCAAGTCAACACTCTTTTAAAAGTCACATTAAGAAGCTGGCAACTTTTAGTTTCCACGGGAGGAAGAATGAACAGCAAACACCAGAAGGCACGACTCACCAGTTTCCAAATATTCGGAAAGTGGGCGCAAGCTGGGGAAGGCATGCCTCAGGTTTTCTAGACAGTCGAGGAACTGTTCGTGGGCAGCCTCTCCCTTTCTCAGCACCGTGTCGATCAGGTCTTGTATCAACCCCTGTGGATCCTTCATGCGGCTCAAGGAGAAGTACTCGCCCTGGCTGAGGAGCAGGTGGGCATCCACCACGCCCAGGATCACCTCTGGCTCTATTTGGAGGAGAGCTTCGGCCAGCTTCCTCCTGGCCTTCTGTATAATAACAGAAGGTTTTTCAGTGGAAGCCATGGGAGGGGGAGAGCTGAAAAGTTTTGGAAAATGAAAAAAAAACCACTTTAAAAGAGATAGTTTACGAGAGGGGTGCTAAACATTTTGAGCTGTTTAACCATAAAATGAGTGCCGAAGGAGTATGGGAGCAAACCCTCTCTTCCCCTCTGAGGTCTTGTTGGACAAAAGTGTGCCATGTAGAAATCTTTTGAAATCCCACAGTGCGATGGTCCCCAGATGATGCCCGTGGGTATTTATAAATAGGTGGGGCCAGGCAGGGCTTTTGCCTAGCAAGGCTTCTAGTCAGCTTTTTAAAATTTACTTGGCTGTACAGATTTCTTAAAGTGTGGCTTTAGCAGCAGCTGCCCCCATAACTTAAGGATCTTTACTGGTTACTGAAAGTAACCTGCAGCAGCCACTTTGTGGCTGGATCTGCCTCCAGTGGCAGCCGTTTTTGGCACCCAATTTGTGGCTGTGCCCACTATGCGGTGTCAGAATTCCAAAGGTGCCCACAGGCTCAAAAATGATACACAAATCTGTGCCCTGCATGCCCCTGGGGCCGATGGAAGCACACACAGTCCAATGAGTTGGATAAACTGCTTATTGCAATAACAGGAGACGCAGTACGTAGTGCCTAAGCACCCATTTGGCCAAGCTGCGCTCTGCCAAAATCAGGAAGGGCAGAGGGTCTTATACCCAAAATGACATCATACAGGTTTACAATCCATGATAGGAGACATTATTAATTACAGGTACATTGGCATCATATCAGCTGGCATCCTTCCATTGGTATATCCCAATTTGGGGTACAATTACAATTCATCTGCATTGTTTATTTGACCTAGGAACATAAAGGTCTTCATCTAGAGATTTTCAAGGTCCTCTGCATATGTATAGGAGGGAAACTTCGCAGATAAGTGTGAATCATGGCCTAGTGTATGGCTCTTATCAGACTCTCTGGAGCCTGTCAGCACAAAAGGGATGCTGTTTTGGAGGATGCAGAGCCCGTTTCTGTGTTTTTCTAATGTAGGAAGCTGGGCCATAAATCCTCCTCCAGAGATTCAGCAACAAGGGAAGCTGCAATCGACCAAACGGTTTCAGTTTTAGGCACATTCCTTTTCTCCTGCTTTCTGAGTTAGCTAAAGGCCAATTTGTCTCAACAGAGATATTTCTTTTTGTTTTAGGCTCTTATAACTTCTGTATATTTCTGGTCTAATACTGATCTACTAACATGCATCCAGAGTGGTTCTATCATATGAAACTACATTTATTGGCAATATTGGCAAGCATATCTGTAAGACAGCGGATGTGACTTTTAACACTAAAACTCAGATTTGTCCCCGTGTCCCACAAAAAGGTGGGGGACCCCCTGCTATGGAGGATCAACTTAACCATTACAATGGTGGCCATATCTATGCAATCGCTTTCCTTTACACATAAAACGAATGGGGGTCCGATTAAAAGGCGTGCCTGGGGTGGCTCAGGCTGCCACATGTAAACTGGCCCCTCGAGGTGTCTCTTGAACATCACTGTGATCTGCAGGAAATACAAGGTGATGTGATTTACCCTGGAAACGGTGGTCCTGATGCTGCGTCTTCCTGCCCTGCAAAAACCCTTCCTTCTCAAGCAGTCTGAAAACCCAAGACTGCATTAACGACCGATGTTCGTTCAGACAAGCAGGCAAAACCACAGGAACCCAGGGCCAGCCAGAGGCTTGTGGGAGACCAAATGCAGGGCAGGAAGACAAGGGCTGCCCTCCGTCTTTCTGGGGATAAGAATGCCTCTAAGCACGGAAGCAAAGCCCTGCCTTCGCAAATAAGAGGCGCTTCTGAAACAAGAGCCTCCCGTGTAAATGGTCAGTGTCCAGCAACAGGCCTAGATCAAATTGAGTAGTAACCGAGGGCTCCTACCTTTTGCTCCCAGCAAGAAAGAAGAGACTTTTCTGCCCAGGTAATAAACTCTTCTGTGTCCTTTTCCCGCGCGGCCGCAGGCTGCAGACAGCAAGGAAACCGAAACTTAGGGAAACCGAAAGGAAATTCCGGGGGGGCTTCTGTGGTGTGCCCGCCCCCTCCCCCGGACATCAACACACACCAGCGCTTCCTGGAGCTCAGCGTTTTGATCCTTATCTGTAGCTCTTCCCTCCCCTCTTTTAACGGCTGTGTAGTTTTAACAAATAAAAGAGGACCCGTATAAGAAGTACTAGAGGTCCTCCTAGCCCCACAGAGAACAGACGCTCCTTTTCATTGTAGTAGGAGCTGAGTAAGCAGACGTGTGCAGGTTCACACCGTTTTGCTTTGGATCTGGCCTTGGTTGCTGATGGAGCGTAGGTGATAAGGACACTTTCCTCTTGGGAGGAAGCCCCACTGAATAGCATGGGAGTCAGTCTGAGTAGACCCCTCACTGCATTCAGGCTAAGCAGGTATTGAAGGGGTCAGTGCCGCTTGGATGGGGGAGACCCCTATTGCGTAGGGACCTCTTCTGACTTGAACCCTGTCAAGGAGTCCAGAACAAGCAACCAGACTACTTATTTTTTTAAAATATATTTAATAAAGTTTATTGAATTACTGTCAAATAACTCTACTGCATCCAGCACATTATGATCATCTGGAGATTTTCAAGGTCCTCTGCATATGTATAGGAGGGAAACTTCACAGATAAGGTGTGAATCATGGCCCTAGTGTATGGCTCTTATCAGACTCTCTGGAGCCTGTCAGCACAAAAGGGATGCTGTTTTGGAGGATGCAGAGCCCGTTTCTGTGTTTTTCTAATGTAGGAAGCTGGGCCATAAATCCTCCTCCAGAGATTCAGCAACAAGGGAAGCTGCAATCGACCAAACGGTTTCAGTTTTAGGCACATTCCTTTTCTCCTGCTTTCTGAGTTAGCTAAAGGCCAATTTGTCTCAACAGAGATATTTCTTTTTGTTTTAGGCTCTTATAACTTCTGTATATTTCTGGTCTAATACTGATCTACTAACATGCATCCAGAGTGGTTCTATCATATGAAACTACATTTATTGGCAATATTGGCAAGCATATCTGTAAGACAGCGGATGTGACTTTTAACACTAAAACTCAGATTTGTCCCCGTGTCCCACAAAAAGGTGGGGGACCCCCTGCTATGGAGGATCAACTTAACCATTACAATGGTGGCCATATCTATGCAATCGCTTTCCTTTACACATAAAACGAATGGGGGTCCGATTAAAAGGCGTGCCTGGGGTGGCTCAGGCTGCCACATGTAAACTGGCCCCTCGAGGTGTCTCTTGAACATCACTGTGATCTGCAGGAAATACAAGGTGATGTGATTTACCCTGGAAACGGTGGTCCTGATGCTGCGTCTTCCTGCCCTGCAAAAACCCTTCCTTCTCAAGCAGTCTGAAAACCCAAGACTGCATTAACGACCGATGTTCGTTCAGACAAGCAGGCAAAACCACAGGAACCCAGGGCCAGCCAGAGGCTTGTGGGAGACCAAATGCAGGGCAGGAAGACAAGGGCTGCCCTCCGTCTTTCTGGGGATAAGAATGCCTCTAAGCACGGAAGCAAAGCCCTGCCTTCGCAAATAAGAGGCGCCAGCTTCACCTCTAACACCTCTTTCGGCAGCATCCTCTGAGCGCCGCTTCTGAAACAAGAGCCGCCCGTGTAAATGGTCAGTGTCCAGCAACAGGCCTAGATCAAATTGAGTAGTAACCGAGGGCTCCTACCTTTTGCTCCCAGCAAGAAAGAAGAGACTTTTCTGCCCAGGTAATAAACTCTTCTGTGTCCTTTTCCCGCGCGGCCGCAGGCTGCAGACAGCAAGGAAACCGAAACTTAGGGAAACCGAAAGGAAATTCCGGGGGGGCTTCTGTGGTGTGCCCGCCCCCTCCCCCGGACATCAACACACACCAGCGCTTCCTGGAGCTCAGCGTTTTGATCCTTATCTGTAGCTCTTCCCTCCCCTCTTTTAACGGCTGTGTAGTTTTAACAAATAAAAGAGGACCCGTATAAGAAGTACTAGAGGTCCTCCTAGCCCCACAGAGAACAGACGCTCCTTTTCATTGTAGTAGGAGCTGAGTAAGCAGACGTGTGCAGGTTCACACCGTTTTGCTTTGGATCTGGCCTTGGTTGCTGATGGAGCGTAGGTGATAAGGACACTTTCCTCTTGGGAGGAAGCCCCACTGAATAGCATGGGAGTCAGTCTGAGTAGACCCCTCACTGCATTCAGGCTAAGCAGGTATTGAAGGGGTCAGTGCCGCTTGGATGGGGGAGACCCCTATTGCGTAGGGACCTCTTCTGACTTGAACCCTGTCAAGGAGTCCAGAACAAGCAACCAGACTACTTATTTTTTTAAAATATATTTAATAAAGTTTATTGAATTACTGTCAAATAACTCTACTGCATCCAGCACATTATGATCATACAAGAAGAAAATAAGAAAGCTAGCTCAACTGTAACACTTTCCAGGTCTTGCATTAGACACGCAAACCTTAAGTTCCAAAGTCAAAGGCCAACACTCGAGCATTCTATAGGTATTAATCAAACCTATGTTTGGTAATACTTGACACCAATAGTTACATAACAGTACAGAAAAGTTTAAAAAATAAAAAGCACAAAATAGATCTACCTTAAGCATGCATCTATTATACACAGTGTGAAATACTTTCCCATATCTTCCTAACACTCTGAGCCTCCGTTTTTGTATAACCACCAGGTGGGGCCTGGAGATCTACTGGAATCACAACCGATCTCCCAATTGCAGAGATCACTTCCCCATTAGGGTTGCCAGCTCCAGGTTGGGAAATTCCTGGAGATTTGGGGGTGGAGCCTTGGGAAGGTGAGGTTTGGGAGCAAAGCATCCTCAGCAGGGTATAACGCCATAGGGCCCACCCTCCAAAGCAGCCATTTTCTCTAGAGGAACTGGTCTCTCTGTCATCTGGAGAGCAGTTGTAATTCTGGGTGATCCCTAGCCCCCACGTGGAGATTGGCTGCTTTGGTGGGCTGTGGCATTATATCCTTCTGAGGCCCCTCAACTCTTCAACTCCCACTCTCCCCAGACCCCACGCCCCCATTTCCAGGAATTTCCTAACCTGGAGTTGGCAACCCTATTTCCACCCAACAGCCAACCTACCTTTCTCTCCAACACTGTCTTAAGCTTTCCCTCTCCCCTCCCAGCAGCGTGTGCCTAGGAAACCTGTGGCCCAGTTGTGTGGTGCCTCTGTTTCCTGATAACTGGAGGTCTTTTGGCTGCATTGGAAGATACACTCTGCAGCATAATATCTGGTTGCGCCTTCTCTCCTCCTCAAACCCTACTCTCCTCAGACTCCACCACAATATCTTTGGGAATTTTCCAACCCAGAGTTGGCAACCCTAGTCAGGCCTGGCCCAAATGAGTCTTCTCTCAAACGCCAAAATAGGTCTGGAAAGGGCCCTGCCCCCTCTGCTGCCTTTTACTCACTATAACCCAGCCTTGAATATGGCTGTTTCCTAGCAACAGCCATTGAGGTGATTCCTTGCTTAAAGCTCCAGGTGTTCCTTTTATCATTTTTTAATTTTTTTAAAGCCCCCAATGTATTTTGTTTAGATTTCACATTTTTCTGTAACCCTGAGGCCTATTTCAGGTTTGTACAAAGATCTGTCTTGCCTGTTTACAGCTCCAGTGACCGGATTTGAGTATCCAAACATTTCCCGACCTCACTATTAGAATATAAGATAGTTCATAAGGGAGACAGTCCACAGGGGAAGCCACAATTTATATACCTCTTCCGGCCCCAACTCTTCAATCTTCTGAAGTGGGTCCCCAGGGCAAATGTACACAAGTAACCAGACCACTGTTTTAATTTCAAAAAAAAGATGTTTATTTCAATTTCTATCAATATGAAAACTTATTACATAACCAACATATTACTCTCAAGTCTAGCAGTACGAAAACTAGCTTAATCTATCTAACACTTTTCAGAACTTCAGGTCTTCTCTACATTGCTAGCAAATGCATTTCAAGCAGGTCACAGTTCCTTCAGACCTCTAGTCTGTCAAAATTCCTGCTAATCGGTCTTCTTCAGGGCCTCAGTTCAAATATATTTTTCTGCCCGGCAACCTCAGGTGATGATAGCCAATCAGAACACATTCTCAGGAGAAGCCTCTAGAGGATTACCTCACCACCACCCCTGGTTCACCCCCTCCCATCATAGGGACTGGACTGCAGATTCTCATGGGAAGCTAACTGCTATCCTTCCATGTTTGGCCTTGAACTGATAAGAACTGTCCAGGCCATGAGACCAGTTAGTAGTCACACCTGCAAGATGTACCAGGCCCCTCACTGTTCACATTAACCCCTGAGGGGGAGGCCAGGGGCACTTTGCCTCACAAAGAGCCAGTGCAGACTGGGGGCTATGGGGTTCTGCTTGGTGCCCATCCAGGACTCAGGAGGAGGGTGAGCACTTAGCAGCTGTTAGTCATGATACTCACATGCTATTTCACTGTGATCATAGTTAACTAAGTCTCCTGTGCTGATTCATGAGTACTGATGAGCAACGTTGCCTTTTAAAAATTGCCACTTCGCTGGGTGAGGTTTGTGATCAGTGTGGTAGGACTGGTGGAGGAAGGGAATGAACTTTTTGTACCTTCCTCTCATAGAAGTCTAATATTTTTCAATCTAGGAAGGATCTCTCCAGTGTGCTCTCCCAGCCTGTAACTCACAAGCTTAACATTCCAGCTTCATTCTCTCTGCCACGCCAGCCATTGACAGAGACAGAATGTGGGGACTCTGGATAGGATGAACTGGTCCGAGTGGATGATCAGAAGAATGGTCAATCAGTTGGAGGGCCCTTTAAATTTGGCAGGAGGGGAGGGAGAGGGGTGGCCGGGGTGTGTGTGTGGTGTCCCAGGTAGGGTGAGGGAAAGGGGTATCTGGGAGTACTTTTATACCTTTATTTTTTAAATACCTTGTGGGGCTACTGGATGATAATATTGCATACTTTGTTGGTGGGAGTTGATTTCTTTGCTGTTCACCCTTCCTATTTTGTGCTGTTGTCATAATCCCCTGAATTTAATTGTACAAACTCTTGCTGGTCAGGCAACATAATACAGTTTGGCGCACATCTTAGAAACAAAGATATAACTGAAAACCTAACAGAGAACCCTAAAGAGATGGTGAAGAAAAGGCCCTTAAGACATAGTTAGTTACACTGATCCCTCCCAAAACCTGGTTTCCGGCTTAGTGGAAATAGGGATCCACCTGGACGCGGCCTTGACAACTCATTGCTTTTTCATATCCAGTCATCTGTATGTAACTTGATTGACCGTACCCAAACCCAATCACTGTTTCCAGCATCCCAGAAATTCCCATCTGGCAGCACCTATGAGTCTGGAATCCAAAGTAAAGTCCACTGGCTTTTAATGGCCACTTGTACTCATGAGTTATCTACATCATGATAGAGTTGATCTGGATACTGCACATTGCTAGGCTTTCTGTGTCTGCCCCTTAAAACTGTCCCGCCTATTGTGTACACAGCCCTTCTGTGGCAAAGGAAGAGAAAGGTCTATGCCTAATGCACCAGGAAGATTTGATCCTCAAAAGTCTCGTCCTTGAGCATTCACTCCCTCCACAATAGCTGGCTGAGTCAAGACACATTGAAAGGTATTTGTGCTGCCCCAGTCTAAGGATCTGCAGATATATCCATTGAGAACGAATGGATTATTTTCTTTTCAAAAACAACTCATTTTTAGTAGTTCTGTTTAACTGTTTTCCACATTGGAAACCACTGCATCACAAAGTAATACCATACAATACTATTGTAACCTGGTGCTGCTGATAATTCTTTTATTTTCTGTTGTAAACAAAAAGTGCTACAATATATGAGAAAAGAGATAAAAAAGTCAACATTGATACATATAATAATAGCTATAGACTAAGGTTTAGAAATGAAAACATTTTCCAACTGGTTTTCTTGTCTATGCACCAATGTATAGAAAGTCACAACCATTATTGTTATGATTCACAAAAAGAGATAAGGAAGAAAAAGAGGGGTTGCAGTCCAACTAACTCTTCTATGAAAACACATGGGCTTGCTTCTGTGTGCCCTGCTGACCATCACAAGCTGCTTTTCAGACAGTGCAGTTGCCGCTCAGGAAACATGCACTAATCTCTGGAGGAAAGATGGGGTGGGGGTGGGGAGAAAGAGAAGGCAACAAAAGGCAATAAACTTTCACATGAAACAGAGCAGGAAGGGACAGGTCATCAATTCCATTGCAAACATTCTCCTAGAAATGGCTCAAAACATGGCTTCATGAAAGGAACATCCACACGGAATGAGACAAAGACTGGGCAAACTAGCCTTTATATGCCTATCAGTGTTTGCTTCAGTTTGGGCATCCTTCAAAGGATCAGTCTAAGGACCCCTCTTCTGGATCATCCAAGAAAAGGTCTCATATTTTGGGGATGCTTCATCTTTAGATGAGAAAGGTCCATGTTCTCAGCCCCCACATACAATGTCCCAGAAGCAATGAAACCTTCGACCAGAGGGGAGAAACTCTTTCCAATCTCTATGACAGCATATCAATGCTTAAAATATATATATATGTATTTGACTGCAGACTTTTACCATTAATTTGGTGTAGTATGTCTTTTGTTCATCATTTATCAAAAAATACATGCTTTGTTAATCTGGATATGTAATCTTGTTGTAATGTGTGGAATCACGTGGCATCAGGCAAAATTACAGAAGTTTTAAACAATCAGATCCCACTAAAGCCAAACCTTGAGGAAACTTTACACGTTTACTGTAAAGCAAACTCATCCAGGAGGATCCTGGTGCTTACTTCCTATTGTAGGTTACTTTTAAGGACTGCAGTGCCTGTTTCTGTGTTATATTTTTCCAGTCCTCTGGCAGGTCTGCTGGCTTGGCTCCGTACTGATGTGCAAATTCATGATTGAACTCTTTAAAAACAAACTTCCAGTAATCAGAAGCATTGATACTGGGATCCGGTTGGATGCACCAATCTGGATAATAGACCCGGTAGTCTTTGTATGGATGCCATTTCCATTTGGTTTCTTCATTTTTGAAACTGTAGTGAGAAACCACAAGAGTGGAACACAAATCGTAAATAAGCTTTTCTGTTTTCTCCCATCTAAATCTTCCCAGTCCTTGGGGCCGATGGACAGCTGAAAAATGCTCCTTGTGGGCACTCCCTCCGGCCTCACAGGGCGTTTTGCAGAAGGGGCACTGCTTCCCACAGCCAAACACTCGCTTGAAGATCTCATCCTGGGGCTTCACAGGCAATTTGGAGAGTTTGGATTGAAGATCCAGGGCATCCAACTCAGATAATATCCTCGTTTGCAAACCAGGAAGGAAATTTTCAACGCAAACAACAAACTGGCTTGGATCAGACATGTTCTTAAATTGTATTCCCAGCAGGCTGTCCTTAGAAATAACCAGCTCCTTCTGCATTTCCTTGCAAAACATTTCCAAAAATTCTGATATCATTTGAACACCTTTATGCTTCAGGTTCTCTAGCATTTCCATAGTTTTCTTTACTATTGCAGAGAGAATGTCTTTCTCCAGATTCATCAGAGACTGCTTGTCGGCATAGTGCTCTAGTATTTTTCTCATGATCCAGCTCTTCACAAATTCTTCATAGGATCTGATATAATAGACATAACTGCTGGCATTCCTCTCTTCCAACAGCTCCTTCAGCACTGTAAACTGGAAGAAGCTCCGACTGGCATATCCCATGGACTGCATGCCATTGTGAATGTCGTCCATTATTGCAATCCCAAATTTTCTGTTGACATAGTCCAGCAGGGCAGGATGGAGACACTGGTCACAGAAATTCTTAGCCCTGGTTTGATGGGCATCTTTTTCCAGATAAAGATCTGTGAAACTGGAGAAATACTGAGTTTTCAGTTTCTCCAAGCGTACCCAGGGATCATTATCCTTAATGAAATCTTCATGCATCTTCTGAAATACATGAGCTGCTTCTCCCAAAATGTGAAACTTCAGGTCCACTTCAAAGGAAGGTGATGTATGAAGCTTTTGAACCTCATCCTGAAGCGTTTGATTGATGATATGCAAAAGTTCTTCACAGTAGGTTTCGTGATAATCTCCTCTGGAATTGGCCTTTTCATTAATGTTCTGCAAGCATTTAGACATCAGTGACTTAGCAAGTTCTTCAGCTTTACAGAAATGATCCTGTTTAGAAAACACGCTCTTCACATGGTCCCAGAATGATGGATTTATATACTCTAATTTCATCTGAAATGTGTTTATCCTGTAGCTTGACAAATTTTTTGCTGCTTGTACTTTTTGGTTGATTGCACTTCCACGATAGGACAAGTCCTTCCTCAAACACAATTCAATATCTGAATAGATTTGCTGTCTCTCTAGGGGACCAAGGGATATTTCTGACAATGTTTCTGTCCACATTCTTTCAAACTCTCTTCTCAGCTCTTGGTCATCAAGCCTGCACTCTTCTTTCCTGCATTTTTCAAGAAGCCTATCAATTTTTCCTTCAATTACTTTCAAGTATTCCATTTGAAGAGTATCTATCTTGTACCGTCCCTTTTTAATGTGAATGGCATTGTTACATTTATTGTAAGAATGACTTTCAAGTTCGCACTTGAGGCTGTTGGTGCTCCTCACAAAATCTTCTCTGTACTTTTCTACCAGATGCACCCAGAGGTGCATATCCCTGCGGAAGCCCCAGTCCCATTCAGAGTATTTTGCAGACAGCTGGTTATAAGCTTCCGCTATGAGGCTGTTTCGGAAGCTGAAGATAAAAAGCTGAATGATAAAAGGGTTGGAACACTTTCCTTATGAGGAACGGTTAAGGCGCTTAGGGCTCTTTAGCTTGGAGAAACGACGACTGAGGGGTGACATGATTGAGGTTTATAAGATTATGCATGGGAAAGAGCAGGTAGAGAAAGAGGTACTTTTCTCCCTTTCTCACAATACAAGAACCCGTGGGCACTCCATGAAATTGCTGAGCGGTCGGGTTAGAACGGATAAAAGGAAGTACTTCTTCACCCAAAGAGGGATTAACACTTGGAATTCACTGCCACAGGAAATAGTGGCAGCTACAAGCATGGACGGCTTCAAAAGGGAATTAGATAAGCATATGGAGCAGAGGTCCATCAGTGGCTATTAGCCACAAGGTATAGATAGGGACTCTGGGGCAAGTGATGCTCTGTCATCTTGGTGCTTGGGGGGGGTCAACAGTGGGAGGGCTTCTAATGTCCTGGCCCCACTGGTGGACCTCCTGATGGCACTGGTATTTCTGGCCACTGTGGGATACAGAGTGTTGGACTGGATGGGCCTTTGGCCTGATCCAACATTGGCATCTCTTATGTTCTTATGTTCTTATGTTCCTGTACCAGTTTGAAAATATTTGTCCAGACTCTCCAACATCTGTTGCTCCCCACTTAACAACTTCTGTTGAAGCTCATGCCGCCAGTTCAAGGAGCCAAGCTCATCAGGGGAAACATTCAGTATCAGAGTTTCCTGCTCAGACACCCAGAGGTGCATATCCCTGCGGAAGCCCCAGTCCCATTCAGAGTATTTTGCAGACAGCTGGTTATAAGCTTCCGCTATGAGGCTGTTTCGGAAGCTGAAGATGAAGTTCTCATATTTCACAGCATTCCATAGACTCTTAATCCACTCAATAAATTGAGGGATGTCTTTGGGAGTCCTTTTAACTGAATGGTCCCTTAAGAATTCAAACAGGTACTTCTTTAACTCAAAGACCTTTTCACTGTAGCCCCGGTTGACTGAAGCCATAGCTGGGACTCCGTGCCACAGGCCTGGAATGTACCAGTTGTGTATTTCTGGGTCATAATCCATGATGTCTGAAAACTTGATATCCCTGTTGAGCTTTTCCATTTTTGCTGCAGCCTGGGTCATTTCGTTCAGTTGTTCCAAGAGGTGTTTCCTGTGCCTCATATTCATATTTTGGTCATGTGCAGAAACATCACTGACGTTCTGATGCACAAACTGGCAGTTGGGTTTTTGCCCAATTCTCTCCATCCGCAGGAAGGCATGAGTCACAATCTGCAGGATGTCCTTCATTTCGGTGGCATTCTCCATGGCCATGTTCACAATTGTCACATCGCTGAGCCCAATCACCAGAGTGGCCAGCTCGTTGTCGTGTTGATAGCTGTCTTCCAGTTTGGACAGTTCAGGAGCTTTCAAGCCCTCAGTGTCAATCACCAGGATGAAATCACAGCCCAGCTCCTGGATCAGGTTCTCCTGGACCTTAAGAAGAGTCATGAAGGCCCCTCGTGTACATCGGCCACTGCTCACAGCCAATTGCAGCCCAAACATGGTGTTAAGAAGGGTGGACTTCCCAGTGCTCTGCACCCCCAGCACAGTTATCACAAACATCTTGGATTGATTTCTCAGTTTGTAATTGAGTTGAGTCAAAACATCCGTTATCCACTGCAGGGGGATGTTGGAAGCATCTCCATCAATCAGCTCTAGAGGAAACCCTTCCAGCATCAGCTCAGCAGCAATGCTGGGGAAATGGGCAAACTGCCTTCCGTTTTTAGATAATTTGCCTTCTCTGTCCATCAAACATTCTGCTTCATAAAACTGACCCAGCTCTCTCATGAAATGCTCAACTCCCAAGGAGGAAGAAGAGATCAGCTGGTCTACCTCTGCCACCTTCTGAGCATCATCTCCTAACAGCTTGCAGTTCTCTTTATACTCAGCCCGTAATTTGGAGAGATTTGCCCTAGCAATGTAATCCAGGTTGAACTTCATCCATTTTAAGAAGTAGTGCTTTCTTGCTGAATCTGAATCTTTGATGCCACAGATGAAATTTATCAAACCAACAGTGAGATCACACTCATTTTGCTGTTGACGCAGAAGCATCAATTTGCCTTTCAATTCAGATCTGTACTTTTCTGAAGGTGTGTCCCCTTGTCTTTCCATCCTGCACAGTTCTTTCTCCACTTTTGCCAGGTTTTTCCAGAGATCACCCTGGAGTTTCAGCACTTCTTTCTTGTACAGTGCTACATCCTTTACATCTTCTGTGATTTCTAACGTACATCTGTGAGCATCCTGACATTCTTGGCGGTCTTCATCTACGTGGATTGAAAGCTCTCGAGCCACCGCAGCCATGTCATCGATAGTCACCCTCTTGGGATCAGCACTGATTATACTTCGAATGGTAGATCGTAGTTGTTCTACAATTTTTACTGTATTAGTCTTGGCTGCTTTTAATAGTATATGTGACTTGCTGAGTTTAAGCACTGGAGCCAAGTCTTTTAAGAAATCCGGAGTTTCACTGGAGTTTCTGCCAT